ATGGGTTAAACGGGCCCAAAAATGGGTTAAACGGCCCCAAAAACGGGCAAAATGGCCCCAAAAATGGGCAAAAGGACCCCAAAGTGGCCAAAAAACGGCCCAAAGGACCCCCCAAAATGCTGGAAACAGCCCCAAAATCGACCCAAGGAGGCCAAAAATTACTGAAGTATCAAAAGGGACTGAAACAGCCCAAAATTGACCGAATCGACCCCAAAAATGGTCTGAAAGGGCAAAAAAAAAAAAAAAAATTGAGCGGAATGGCCCCTGAGACGACCCAAAAGTGGCCAAAATAGCCCCAAAAAGTGAAACAACCATCAGAGTGTCCAAAAAATGGCCCAAATAACCCCAAAAATGGCCAAAATAACCCAAAAAAAGGATCAGAATAACCCAAAAAATCTGAATAACCCAAAAAAATCAGCTGAATAACCCCCCAAAAAATGGAAGTGCCCCCAAACAGCCCAAAATCGACTGAAATAACCCCCCAAAATGGACTGAACCGACCCCAAATCCCTGAAAATGCCCAAAGTGCCCCAAATTCCCCCGGCCCCGACCCCGCTGCTCCCGCTCCCTCCCAGCCCCTTTTTGGGGGGAATTGGCGGCATTTTGGTCCAAAAGGGGCTTTTTTTCTCACCCCCCCCCCCCGGGAATGTCCCAAAAGGGGGGGGTTTGATCCCAAAATTCCCCCTCTGGAAAAACTTCCCGGTCGTGTCTGACCCGGGAAAGGGCGAAAAGCGACACCAAAACGGCTCCTTTTTGGTAATAAAAACGGTGGAAAACCCCCACGGATTCCGAGATTTTTGGGGGGAAAAACGGGAGATTTGGGGAAAAATGGGAGGTTTGGGGGAAAAATGGGAGATTTGGGGGGAAAAAGGGAAGTTTGGGGTAAATAAGGGAGGTTTGGGGGGAAAATTGGGTGATTTGGGGTAAATAAGGGAGATTTGGGGGGAAAATGGGAGGTTTGGGGCCGAATTTGGAGGGTTGGGGTTAAAAAAGGGGGATTTGGGGGACAAAAAATGATGGGGGGGAAAGGGAGGATATGGGGGCAAAGTGGGGGATTTGGGGGGGAAATGAGGGATTTGGAGGGGAAAACGGGGCAAAAATGTGACGTTTTGGGCTCCTCCTGGGGTTGTGGTGCCCCTTTTTTGGGGGTAAAATCCTCCAATTTTGGGGTATTTCCCCCAATTTTGGGGTAAAACCCCCCCAGTTTGGGGGTTGGGGTGTGTCTGCCCCCAGAGCTGACCCTGAGGTTGCTCCTCCCCCCCAGGTTTGGGGTAAAACCTGCCCCTTTTGGGGCTTTCTGCCCCCCACCCCCCACCCCCCCCAAAGTGAGAATTAATCCCCTCCACGGATTTATTTTCGCTGCCAAATCGCCCGAATTGGGGCAAAGGTCGGCCCGAGCTCCGGGAATTCCGAGCGATTCTCCCAGAGCTCCTCGAGGGGGGGCTCAGGGAGGGGGTCCCGGACCCCCCGGGGGGATGGGGGGGACCCCCAGATCCGGGACCCCCCCCCGAGCGGGAGGAGATTTTATTGGGATCAAATAAATAACCTCCGGGGGTGGGGGAGGGGCGGGGGGTCCCTGCCCCGCCCCCTCGGGGGGGTCCCGGCCCCGCCCCCTCAGGCACCGTCCTTGCTCTTGGTGCTGCTCAGGGGGACGGCGACGTCCTCGTCCTTCACATGCCCCGCCCTGGGGAGAGACCCCAAAACCTCTGACTTTGTCCCTAAAAACCTCCATCCCCAAAAACCTCCATCCCCAAAAACCTCCATCCCCAAAACCTCTTTGTCCCCAAAAACCTTCATCCCCAAAAACCTCCATCCCCAAAACCTCTGACTTTGTCCCTAAAAACCTCCATCCCCAAAAACCTCCATCCCCAAAACCTCCATCCCCAAAAAACTTCCATCCCCAAAAACCTCCATCCCCAAAAAACCTCCATCCCCAAAAACCTCCATCCCAAAAAACCTCCATCCCTAAAAACCTCCATCCCCAAAAACCTCCATCCCTAAAACTTCCGGCCTTGTTCCCAAAACCTCCATCCCCAAAATCTCCCACTTCCTCCCCCAAAACCTTCATCCCTTCCCAACCCCAAAACCTTCCCCTGGTGGTCCCTGTTGGTCCCTGTGTGTCCCTGATGGTCCCTGGTGGTCCCTGGTGGTCCCTGTGTGTCCCCAGGGGTCCCTGGGTGTCCTTGGTAGTCCCTGGTGGTCCCTGTGTGTCCTCACGTGTCCCTGGGTGTCCCTGGTAGTCCCTGGTGGTCCCTGTGTGTCCCTGATGGTCCCTGGTGGTCCCTGTTGGTCCCTGTGTGTCCCTGTGTGTCCCCAGGGGTCCCTGGGGGGTCCTCACCTCCTCTCGACGTCCCGGACGGTCTCGGGCAGGGGGACGTTGCGGGTCTCGGGCAGGAAGGAGGTGGCCACGGCCGACACGATGGGGGCGGCGCCGTAGATGACGAGGGGCAGCACGGGGGTCACGTCGGCCGCCATGCGCACCAGGGGGGCCACCATCCCCCCCACGCGGGCCATGGTGCCCCCCAGGCCCATCCCCGTCTGCCTGCGCCGCCACACACACCCCGGGGGGGGAGGTGAGGGGGAGGGTTGATGGGGTTGGGTTGATGGGGTTGGGTTGTTGGGGTTGGGTTGTTGGGGTTGGGTTG